GTAAAACGAAAACTGTTTACTGTACACTCGCAGTTATGTATTACAGTGTGAACATTACTGACCTAAAATATTTATAGTAGAAAACAACGTAGAAAAAAACCGTTCAAATTATTAAAAACAATACTTTACGATATTAAAGGACATTTTAATGTATGTCTGACAACACCTGAATACAGAAGTTTTACCTACGTGATATAAGTATCTAAAAAACGAAAACATCAAGAACATTTAAGGCGTTTATTGTAAGGCGTTTTAAGAAGCTCGGAATAGCTAACGCTTTAGCTTTCCCGGAGTGTCATTAAACAATACGACATTGTACTGCGTCTTGGGAATAACTGTTGTACAATACAGTCTTCAGAGAACAATAAAATTAGGAGAACTGTTATTTGGACACAATACGGAAAGAAATAGTGAAGAAAATATATAGACAATCATGGAAAGCAAGACAAAAAAGGAAAAAAGGAAATCAGTCAACAATAAATAAGAATAACACCAAAACTCGGGCCCTTTGTAAAGGTTGATGGTACGGAGTGGGAGCTTTAATACTATGCTCTAGTCTCCCTGATACATTGTTTACAGCTGTTCTCATACATATACACGCAATAAGGCGAATTTCAGGTTCGTTTTAAGTATTAATTTTTGCATTTACAGAACTTTAATCAACTTGTTCACCCTTATTTAAAGTATCTTATGAGTAATGATGTTAAAGTTTTAATAATATTTGAGTAATTATCAATATTGTTACACCAAGGTCACCAACGGCTAATGAAATCGGACAGCGCCACGTAAAAATGGGCGGAGCCAAAACTGGTTTCAACTAGGCGAAATCCTTTTCAATTCTTTCACGCCATACGCTTTGCTTTAGGTACCTATCCAATACACTATGCATATAGAATTATTTTTATTGTTATATCACAGTTTTTTTTGTCCTACATGCCCACAACTCTTCAATATTAATTAAAATATTCTTCATAAGCGGCCATGATCCGCATATTTACTCAGTGTGTACGTGGGAGATACTCCCTGATTGGTTGTTAGCTATTCGGGCCGCTTGGTTGCTGCTCATGAACATAAGAAATTAAGGAGTCTGCAATAGGCCGGTTGGCCTGTGCATGGCAGCTCCTGTCGAGAGTTACAACCACTCTCTATCGTCCATGAATCTATCTAGCCTCCTTTTAAAACTTTCCAGCGTTCCAGCACTTACTACAAAGTTGCTAAACTTGTTCCACTCGTCCACCACCCTATTTGTGAACCAGTTCCTTCCTATCTCCCTCCTAAACATAAACTTATCCAACTTAAATCCGTTGCTACGAGTCCTATCCTGCTCCGATATTATAAGAACTTTATCTATATCTCCTTTATTGATTCCTTTCACCCACTTAAATACTTCTATCATATCTCCCCGCACTCTTCGTCTTTCTAGGGAATGCAAGTTTACTTTCTTTAATCTATCTCGATAGGGAAGGTTTCTAAGTCCCGGAATCATTTTCGCCATTCCTTGATGCACCGACTCAAGTAATTTGATATCCATTCTATAATAAGGGCACCAGAACTGAACCGCATAATCGAGGTGCGGTCTGACTAGCGCAAGATATAATTGCAATAAGACCTCTGCACTCTTATTACTTCCACTTCTAGACATAAAACCTAATACTCTGTTTGCCTTATTTCGAATATTAATGCACTGTTTTCTAGGCCGAAGGTCCGGGCTTACGAGTAACCTAAGTCTCTTTCACAATTCGTCTTCTCTAGTTTGATTTTGTCAAGGCTGTATACATTGACAGTATTTGTTCTTCCGATATTAAGTACGCTACACTAGCTGGCGCTGAATTTAATTTGCCATTTTTCTGACCACTCCTGCAGTTTATTTAAATCCACCTGTAGCGCATTTGCATCCTGCCGTGAATTAATCTGCCGCCCTATTTTGGTGTCATCAGCAAACTTGCTTATGTCACTGCTGATCCCAGTATCTAGATTCTAGATCGTTGATGTAGATTATGAACAAGAGTGGGCCGAGTACTGACCCCTGGGGAACCCCACTAGTTACACAGCCCCACTCACATTTAAAACCATCTACGCTGACCCTCTGTGTTCTATCGGTGAGCCATGATTTTATCCAATTTAAAACTTTCCCCTCGATACCATGAGCCTTAACTTTTCTCAGAAGCCTCTGATGCGGTACTCTGTCAAATGTGTAAGTAAATAACATCGTAATTTTCGCCATTAACTACTACCTGGACCTCATAGAATTTCCTAAAAAATGTCAGCAGATTTGTTAGAAAAGATTTTTCCCTTTGTTAACCCATGTTGAGAGTCGTAGATTAATTTTGTTTTTCTCTAAATGCTATCGGATGCTATTTGTTATAATTGATTCAAGAAATTTCCCCACTACTGACGTCAAACTAATCGGCCGGTAATTTGACGCTGATGCTGTCTCCCTTTTTGAATATCGGTACTACATTTGCCTGTCTCCACAAGTCTGGCACAACTCCCACGTCTAATGATTTTGTAAATAAATTTACGATGGGTCTGCTATTCTGTTCCTTACACTCTTTCAAAACTCGAGGGAAAATTCCATCCGGCCATGGGGATTTTGTCTTCTTTAATTTATTTATCTTCTTAAGAACATCCTCTTTTCTGATAGTGACATCCTTTACTTTCTCTTCTTCATTTCCCCTAAATATCAGTTCCACCTCTGGCATTTCCTTGTGAATTTCTTCTGTGAAAACTGATAAGAAGTAGCTGTTTAATGCTTTGCTTATTTCCTCACTATCATCGATCACTTCCCCTCTCTCTGACTTTAAAGGCCCCACTTTATCCTTGACCTTTGTCCTATATACCTGGAAAAATCAATTTGGATTCGCCTTGGATTCTCTTGCTATCCTAAGGTGTTAGCTCTTCCCTCTGAATGTTCCATGAGCACAGCTCAAAAGCAGCGTCTGCACATACAGAATAGCTAACGCGTTAGCTATTCCGTAAATCGAAAATGTCTTACAATAAACGCCTTTATTATTGCTCACATGAGTGACCACAGTAGACTGTCAACACCCCCACACCTCCACCATGTCACCAACACCCCCACACCTCCACCACGTCACCAACACCACACCTCCACCAGATCACCAACACCCCACACCTCCACCACGTCACCAACACCCCACACCTCCACCACGTCACCAACACTCCCACACCTCCACCACGTCACCAACACCCCACACCTCCACCACGTCACCAACACTCCCACACCTCCACCACGTCACCAACACCCCCACACCTCCACCACGTCACCAACATCCCCACACCTCCACCACGTCACCAACACCCCCACACCTCCACCACGTCACCAACACCCCCACACCTCCACCACGTCACCAACACCCCCACACCTCCACCACGTCACCAACACCCCCACACCTCCACCACGTCACCAACACCCCCACACCTCCACCACGTCACCAACACCCCCACACCTCCACCACCACCCCCCACCTCCACCACGTCACCAACACCCCCACACCACCACCACGTCACCAGGACCCCCACACCACCACCACGTCACCAACACCCCCACACCTCTACCACCACCCCCACACCTCCACCACCACCCCCACACCTCCACCAAGTGTCAGGTTTCAGATGTTTCATAAGACATGACTGCACCAGGCCCAACCTTTCCTCGGCTATCGTTTCATCAGACATATAATAAAATTTCATAATGTGAATATTATGATAATTCTAGACGTGGAAAAATAAATCAAACATCTCCAAAGTATTCATAACATCTGTATTCGTTTATTTTGAAATGTTATGCAATAGAAATAAGATACTGTGCATGATAACAAATATATATTGTACTGTACAGTTTGTTGGAAACGTAGGTCAGTAAAATATTAGTTTGCCTTAAAAAAAAATCAGATTGTTATCACAAATCTGGATGTTGAAAAATTACAAAAAATGAACTTGTGTTAAACTTACTATATTCTACAATTCGTTGCCATGTGCTCGACATTCTGATGTTTTGACGGACACTTCCATAGTTGCGTTCTTGCGATAAAGACCGTGATGTGATTTAAACAAACATGTTTGCATCAAATTCCCCATTAACCAAATATTAGGTATATAAAATACAGTAGTGACTGTTTGTTTGTTTGTGTAGTTGTTCTCTAAGCTCAAGTGCAGTTTTCAAGATAGGGAGCTGAAATTTGGCAGTAAGATGTGCCGCACCCTGTGAGTGTCACGAAGGAGGAATTTTGGGGGGTTGGTTAAGTAGTCGGCTGCCACCCCTAAAAGTGGAACTCTCTCATTAAAACCACATCAATTTTTAAATTTCTTTGCTATGCACAGCCACGAATTTTAGGATAAAGAGCTGATATTTGTTGTGCTTATATAAAGAGCCCCGAGAATGTTAACATTAAGGGGTCAACCCTCGCAGGAACCGACCCCTACCTAAAAGTTGGCCCCCCCTGTGTACAACCAGTCTTTAATACCATACCGTGTACAGTACAGTACAGTACAGTACAGTCTATGCAGCTGAAATTTAGTGCGGTCATTTCTTGCATGTTCTCTTCATTTTGGCCAAAGGCTATGAGCTGCCCGTCACCTGCAATAGTTTGTGTATGGTGTTTTTCTAGTACCAACCATTTTTAACGTAAAGAGACCTAAATTGGGTATGGTAATGTAACAGGTGCCCCAAAACAAACCCGGGCTAGTTCACTATGATGTACACCTACCAATTCTGTACACCTGTTTCTTTCGTAAAACCATAATTTTAATATTTTTATTTCGTTTTTTCTTTCCACATAAAATTTCCAATAAATGAATACTGTAATGTCAACAGGTCCAGGAACAGCTTGTGCTGCTACTGGTGTGCAGTTCTGTTGTCTCCTCTTTCTCCTGAAGAATCAACAACGTAATTCTTCTTTTGAAGTGTAAGACGTTCTCTTCTAATTGGCAGAGATCAATAATAATAATAAAAAAACTCATGGGAACTGTGCACTTACCTTTAGGTAACTCTCAATTTCCAGGGATGAAACATTAGATCGCTCTGAGGTGTCGGAGGGAGGTGGAGGAAATCCATCTGGACTTGCTGGCTCCTTGCCTGTGAATAAAAGAAAAACTAACATGCAGTATATCAATTACAGAAAAAATTGAGAGCTCTGGTATGTATATGAATTAGCCATAATAGTGACTGTACTTAAGGGATTATCATGACTTTTTTTAAATATTTTCAAAATCTAGATCTTCAAAATTCAAAATAACATCATAAGAATGCTCATAAAAGCTGAAAAGTGGCATAAAAATCTAAAGCTTTCCGCATGGCACAACTGAAGTGCTGAAAAGAGTTGGTGTTGTAAAAAGACATTCGAATACCAGCAAGCATAAAAATGTATAAACAGCTATGAGGGTAAGGAGGATCTGGGATTAAAAATGTCTAACACAAACTATATTGTTCTGAACACATCATAGTTCTTTTTCTATATTTTATAAATTGAGTTCACTGTGGTCAATCGCTAACTTACTCCATATAGGGGGCTAAAAGGGGTCCAATGCAGCTGAAGTATGGTACTAAACCAGCAAATACTGTACACGGGAAGAGATCTATTATCTTTTGATACAGCTAGGTGTTTGCAGTGTGCTAACTGGGCATATTAAGTGCATTGGTTATGTATAAACAGCATTGTGCAATTCCTCGTGTGATGACACTGGCTAGGGTGCAGCTTGAGGGGAAGGTGAGATAAAACCATACACAGCAGAGCCTGCCTCCCACGGGTGTGTCGTGTCATCCTGCTGCTGCTGAGTGAAGATCGCTGGCACAGCAAGCAGGAAGGTCGGGACCCAGCGATGGATCGACTAGTAATGTTCCTCTCAGTGGTTCCTGGCGAGCTCTTGGCAGACTTGCCGATGGTTGTGGGTCTGTACTGAGACAGGAAGGGGCTCACGCTGCCACCGCTGCAACAGGGCGTGCGATAAGTGGTCCTCCCATGCTTCACATTATAACTCTCGTGTGTCTTTATACCGTGTATTTTCACTGACTCTTTTAACAAGGCCTGTAAGTTACGAGCCTCAGGAGAAGTACTGTAGGCACAGAAGACAGCATGGCAGGGAACAGTGACTGGAGTTGTGAGATCAGTGGCTAGATAGTTTGGGCGTGGGATCCCAGTTCTGTTGCTTGTTGGGTGAATACAGGGTTGCTGCAGCACCTGTTCACTACACTGTTGGTACTGGTGAGGAGGGGCCGCATCAGCAGATCGGCTGATATTGAATTTTCTGGTGGGACTCACAGAATCACTCTCACTACTGCTACGGAGATAAAGCCCCGGCCTATGTATAGGTGCCAAAGCCCACTTTTGTCTTTTCTTAACAAGGTCCTCCCGTGATGACAGCCCATCACCTCCACACCTTTGAAGCCGAGCGATTGTTTCACTTATCTTTGACCCAGCAGGCACCGGACATCCTTTACTTTCTACAGTCTCCGCTGAAGTGCTGGAGGAGTGCTTAGTGCTTCCTGGTGATGTGGTGGTGAATATAGCAGTGCTTAAGGCCGTGCTGGTGCAAGTGGCCTGTGAGCTGGCACTAATGGCAGTGGAGATGGCAGCGGTGGTGGTGGTAGCGGTTAAGAGGCGTTTTGTGCTCACAGCAGCAGAAGGAGACATGGTATAGGCCAAGTTGTGGGTGGAGTCACTGAGAATGGGCATGTGGATGACAATAAGATCACGGGTGATAGGTGGAGAGGGCACAGAGGGGTTTGTCACCCAAGATGAGAGACTATTCTCCTTCTTTTGCCCTTCTTCCTTCCCCGCCTGGCAAAAGGAGGTAGTGGGAAAACAGGGAGCGAGGCAGGGAGCCACGCAACGTGTGTTCTGTGTTGGCTCACACATTAAGGGTCCCGCGTCACAGCTGCGGTCCGCTGAAGTAAAGGTCAGGTAGGGTGGAACAAAATGTTAGTTGATAATAGCACTATGCTTATGAAGTAGAACTCTGTTGATCTTTGATGCACAGAGTGAAGAAGAAAGTTAAAAGGTTGTTAACTATCCCGTTAAGCAATGGCAGTTTAAATGAATATTTAAAAACAAAAATACTGTAACAGACAAAAAATATATATTTTTTAGATTATCTAAACAGATGTATGCTTGATAATGCAGTTACATCAACATCACTGGGAAATTTCACACAAACTTATCATGTTGCGATGAAATATGAATTTCAGTGTGTTAATTATATTCCTATACATTTATGAAATCACGAACTTATCTCATTATGAACATACTAATACAGTAAAGTTGAGAGGCTGAAGCACTATAGTACAGCATAGAGTCTAGACCAAAACACTAGTTTACCCCATATAAAAACTAATCAAGAGATCAATCATTTATTACAGGAACTAATATTCAATCACCTGCACCAGAAGGAGGAGCAATGCACTTAAATAAATATTAATTCCTTATGAATCGAATCAAATTACCTTTCTCACCATACCACCATACCAACTATTTTTTCCTAATACCACACTGTATATAAAACACTAATTTAGTGCTCTTACCACTTACTGTGAACGTTTCCCAGTCCATTATATTGTATGCTATTTCATATCAAACACGCTGCACACACACCTGCTTATAACACCATGGTAAAAATACGGTCCATACACCTGCCATTACTATTAAACTTTCCTGCTTTACTGTTTACTGCACTGTACATCTGTCAACTTGCACCTCGTTCTCAGATGCATCATTCCATGTGTGCCAAACACTCACTGTGTGTACTGTATATGCCTCCCATGGGTAATTAACATTCTCTATACGTGTCAGTCAGTCCGTACCTGCTAATGTATGTACTGTACCTACCTGTATTAATCTGAGCATGCTTAAGGTGTTTCCTACCGCACACTCAGCCATTAAGTCTTTACACAACTCCATACGCCTCATCCTATCAATCCACCTCTCAACCATTACCCTTATCCACCACTCAACCATTATCTTATCCACCTCTCAACCATTATCTTATCCACCTCTCAACCATTATCTTATCCACCTCTCAACCATTACCCTTATCCACCTCTCAACCATTAACCTTATCCACCTCTCAACCATTATCTTATCCACCTTTCAACCATTAACCTTATCCACCTCTCAACCATTATCTTATCCACCTCTCAACCATTAAACCTTATCCACCTCTCAACCATTAAACCTTATCCACCTCTCAACCATTAAACCTTATCCACCTCTCAACCATTTATTTTATCCACCTCTCAGTTTTATACTCCATCCCTCCATCTTATCTTCACTCACCTCTCAGGGACACTACATTATCCATACATTCACCTCTCAGGGACACTACATTATTCATACACTCACCTCTCAGGGACACTACATTATCCACACACTCACCTCTCAGGGACACTACATTATCCATACACTCACCTCTCAGGGACACTACATTATCCATACACTCACCTCTCAGGGACACTACATTATCCATACACTCACCTCTCAGGGACACTACATTATCCATACACTCACCTCTCAGGGACACTACATTATTCATACACTCACCTCTCAGGGACACTACATTATCCATACACTCACCTCTCAGGGACACTACATTATCCATACACTCACCTCTCAGGGACACTACATTATCCATACACTCACCTCTCAGGGACACTACATTATCCATACACTCACCTCTCAGGGACACTACATTATCCATACACTCACCTCTCAGGGACACTACATTATTCATACACTCACCTCTCAGGGGCACTACATTATCATACACTCACCTCTCAGGGACACTACACTCACCTCTCAGGGACACTACATTATCCATACACTCACCTCTCAGGGGCACTACATTATCCATACACTCACCTCTCAGGGACACAACATTATTCATACACTCACCTCTCAGGGACACTACATTATCCATACACTCACCTCTCAGGGACACTACATTATCCATACACTCACCTCTCATGGACACTACACTCACCAGCTCTCAGTGACATACTCACTTTCTCCCACCTATAACTTCTACAGATAGAAAGTAGTACAAAATAGTCTTCATAAAACAAACATAAAACTATTAACATTAATTATGGAGGTATCATTAATACTGTTTCAAACAGCCTAAGAAAGTTTTGTATTGGAAAATATATGATGTCAGAGGCTATACTACAGTGGTAAACTGAACAACAAATAAGATCAACCAACATACAGTAATCAATGTATTAATGTTTTAGTTTTCTTAGTAATATAATATTGAAACTGTATACTCTATACGGATTAAGATCATGACCATAATTTATCATTTGCAAAATCAAGTACTGTACTAAAACAAGTTTCTCAATAATGTTATCTATTATTCTAAATCTATCTACAGTATTCAAAACATGAATACAGTCTACACAATACATTATTATTATTTCTCTCTCCTTAATCAACCAAAGTTCTACTTAAATATAATGAAATACTGTACTGCTCATACTGAATAAATACTTATCATGTATTACTTCTAATAGGAACTACAGTACAGTACTGTACTCTACAGTACATATAATACTGTACTTGAATACAGGTACTTTACTATAAATAAAAAAAAATTCACATTTGAATTCTAATACAGTACATACAGTGCTGTACTAATCTATGTGTTATCTAAAGCAAAAACGCAGCAAAGAATAACCTACGGCATATACATTAATAAATTCCCTTACGTAATTTTGCCATTCATTCTTGTTCTATTTCTATCTCTTCCACAGATTCTACGTAGTATCATTAATGCTGCTAATTCTACCTGTACATTAAAAAATTGAGAAAACATTTACAAAATTCTCAAACATTACTCAAGGTGATTTTTGAAATACAGCAATACAATTGGCAATGGCGGATTTAGAAGTATTGAGAGTGTGTGGCCGAACAGGGCACCCAATTTTAATTATAGAAAAGAAGATATAAAGAGCAAGCTTCCTTAGGTTTAGTTTTATTATGTTACTGGCTAGTTTGTTTTCCGTTGTTGTATATAGTCGGCACCCACTGGGAGGAGGGGAGGTGATATTGTACAGCATATGAACTACACAGGGCCCCCACACGTCTGAACAACACAGGGCCCCCACACATCTGAACTACACAGGGCCCCCACACGTCTGAACTACACAGGGCCCCACACATCTGAACTACAGGGCTACACATCCCGGAACACACAGAGACCCCACACATCTGAACTACATCAACTACAGGGCCCCACATCTAGACACAGGGTTTACGTCCTGAATACAGGACCCCCACATCATCTGAACTACACAGAGACCCCACACATCTGAACTACACAGAACTTTACACATCTGAACTACTGGGGCCCCCACATCTGAACTACACAGGGCCCCACGTCTGAACAACACAGGGCCCACACAGTTTGAACTACATATGGCCCCACACACATCTGAACACGAGACCCCCGTCTGACACATTTCTGAGCTTCTGGGAGCCCCACTACATATACACATCTGAACTACACAGGGCCCCACACGTCTGAACTGGGAATTTACACGTCTGAACTTTACAGGGCCCCACACACATTTGAACTACATATATTTACATCTGAACTACAGACTCTGAACTACACAGAGGCCCCCACGTCTGAACTACACGAACCTGAACTACACAGGGCCCCGTCCCTACTGGGGCCCCCGTCTGAACTACACAGGGCCCCCAATACGTCTGAACTACACAGGGCCCCACATCTGAACTACTGCACCTGAACTACACCGGGGCCCCACACCTGAACTACACAGGGCCCCCACGTCCTGAACTACAGGGCCCCCACGTCTGAACTACACAGGGCCTTCCCGTCTGAACTACACAGGGCACAAGGGGCCCCTGCGTCTGAACTACACAGGGCCCCGTCTGAACTACACAGGGGCCCCACACATCTGAACACAGGGCCCACCGTCCCCAGACACAGGGGCCCCACACGTCTGAAACTACAGGGCCCCTACACGGGCCCCCCACGTCCTGAACTACACAGGGCCCCCACACAACGGGCCCCACGTCTGAACTACACAGGGCCCCCACACGTCTGAACTACACAGGGCCCCACGTCTGAACTACAAGGGGCCCCCACACGTCTGAACTTCACAGGGCCCCCAATACGTCTGAACAACACAGGGCCCCACATTTCGAACTACATGGCCCCATCTGAACTACAGGGCCCCATCTGAACTACACAGGTCTCACATCTGAACTACACAGGGCCCCCCACACATCTGAACTACACAGGGCCCCACATCTAAACTACACAGGGCCCCCCACATCTGAACTGGGCCCCACATCTGAACTACAGGGCCCCCACATCTGAACTACACAGGGCCCCCAATATCTCAGACTACACAGGGGCCCCCAATACGTCTCTGAACTACACAGGGCCCCACACATCTACACACACAGGGCCCCACCGTAACTACTACTGGGGCCCCCACACGTCTGAACTACCTCTGAACTACACAGGGCCCCCACACGTCCTGAACTACACAGGGCCCCCAATGAACTACACAGGGCCCCCACGTCTGAACAACACAGACCCCACACATTTGAACACATATATTTACACATCTGAACTACACAGGGGCCCCACATCTGAAATACACAGGGCCCCCATCTGAAATACACACATCTGAAATACAGGGCCCACACATCTGAAATACTGGGGCCCCACACACCTTAACTACACAGGGACCCACTCCGTCTGAACTGCACAGGACCTATACAGGCCTAAATCCAGCACTGCCAGTTGGAAACTCTCAGAGTCAAGAGGGGTTCCAGTTGTTCCAATACAGTACAGGCTCACTGCTCCCTCCAACCACTCCACTGATTTCAAGAAGCGTGGGGAATATCGTGACATGGGCTATTCAACTTAAGTAAAATACATCACCTTGGGAACTCCCATACTTTCATCCGCATTTGCTTAGTACATCCAGAATCTTCAAGAAGCAACATAGTTTCTGTTCACTGAATTAGTTTTTAATTCATACATTACAGTTTTTCATTAATCCATAACAGCCTCTGACCAGAAAATTAGTTTCCAATTATCATATTGTATTACAGTTTCTGACCAGCTAGTTCAACTATTGGAGGTTTTTTTATACAAGTAATAATGTTTGCTGAAGAATTCCACATACTGTACATACCTCAAGAAGGTCATGCAATGGGGAGTTGTTCCTTGAATGTTTCAAAGGCAGATGAGTATTCTAATATCTAGAGGGGTGTTTTAACCCTTGGAGAGGCATCATATCATTCAAAGGGTCATGTTAATGTTTGGAAAGGCAGCATAAAGGGCACTTTAACACTTGATATGGCATTGCAACCTTTGAAGGGACAATTTAATCTTGAAATGACAATACAGTACAAGACAACAATTGAAGGTATAGTTCCATGCTTGATGAAATATAGAGGTTCTGTGACTGCAATGTTTTGGAAAATATTTACTTGTAATATTGACATATAATTGATATTTTTTAATTTGAGCAAGGACAACCGACAAAGCCATGAGATGCTTATTTCCTGAAGAATCCCTATGCCAGCAGCATCTGGGGTTCTTAGGGCCAGGCGATCACCCATCGAAGTATTAAACAAACCCAAAGTTGCTTAACTTTGCTGATCAGACAAGAAGTGTTTCCAACCTGGTACTAAAGTAATAAAATATCAACAATGTACAGAACAGAATCTAAAAAATATATAATTTTTACTGATGATTTTACCACAAGAATCTACTCATTCTAACCACCATTTACTACTATAGTATTGTTACTGTGAACTTCAGAAAACTGTGCACTAGAAAAACCTATAACAATGTTCAGCAGGTGTCTAGTTGTAACACAGATGGTGTGTTGCAGCTACAATACAAAACAGTACAATACACATAAAATATTTCAAAGGAACTACAAAAAGCAGCTGTAATAATTATTTGTGGTAAGTTACATATACTGTACAGTGCAAAGCTACATATAGTCACTGTGTTCATCTAAATTCCAATACAGTACAGGTATACGTTCTCTTAAAATTATACTGGTTATTGTACTGTGAAAGAAAATTTTCACCCCTAAGAGATTGAACAAATTTTTTTCCTGTATTTTTAAGAAAAACTTTTTGATCAACTGAATACGAAGGTAAAAATTTCAGTTAGTCGCACAAGACAGGTGCAGTAGCTACTGTACTGTATATATGTATTCTGCTATACTATAATATCCACTCCAGGTAATTTTAACCACAGCTTACTAGATACCTTAAATGATTCCTCACAGATTGATCTGTGGCTGTGACATGAATACTTCAACAATAAATCATGTTGAAATACAGTACATGTATTAAGACCATGGAAATGGTACCTCTCTTTTCTAGTTTATAAGTAGTACAGTACAGTACAGTACATATATGATAAATGATGGCTACCCCAAGCACGGGAAATGGTTGATAACTTTGGTGATGATAAAGACTAAATTACGTACAGTTACAATTAAATAAAAAGATAATCAAATTAATTACACTGTTTATGGTAGTGTAACTCAATTTAAAGATATACAGACTTTACTAATTCTGTACACAATGTGGTTAACAATAAATATTGTTTTAAATCGACAATTAAACAAATGACCTTAAGGTTTGATTTCATGAACTTAAAATATTAGCTCATTACTTTTCATAAATGATATACTGTACTGTACCACCAAGTACACTTCCAATTTAATTAAATCTTAGCAGCAGTTGCGACACAGCTCGTGTCAGCAGCAACAGTGTTTCCCTCTTGGTAAAGATTCACACAGACAGGCTGTGATGCTTAAACACAGTCCAGCACAGCCTAACTTATGTAATGTGGCCTGAGAACAATGCAAGATCATTTGGATAGTCTACATGTGTTCCTATAATCTGCATCATGAATGCTTTGGTGTTGTGTCCTCTCTGATGAATACCAGACCCAAGGAACAGTCCCTTACTGAATTGTGCTCCCCCATGTTCTGTACCAGAATTGCTAAGTCACCCCAGACATCAACCTCTCATACAAGAAAAGAGAAAATTGTAGTTGCCACCAAAATATATTAAGGGTAAACTTTATCAAATACAGTAGTAGTTTAACTTGTTAAACATTTGTTTCTGCTTGTAGTCTGACTGATGAATATTAATTGGTTAGCAGACATATAAGGTGAGTGCTTGAGACAACAATACACACACAGTCTGATAGGTATAAGTGGAAGATATTTTTATGATGGTATAATATCTTGCTTGCAAACTTAACAGTGAATACAGTTCTACAGACAAAACAATAAGTGAAGTAACTGACCAGAAACTATGGACTTGCTCCAAGACGGTGCTGGGACAATCATCCTTGATATCATCTCCTCATTTAGCGACATCTCACTGGGTGGAGGGGGACACACCAAGGACTCAATGATCTCATCTGTTGTCTTCATTAGTGAGGCCAGATCTGGTGGCTCTGTCCTTGATGACCTGAAGGTGAAAGTGATGGTGAGGATAGATACACCATGATATTGTTGAGAGTAGAAGTTTGGAAGATGTAATAAGATAAGAATAGAGCACAGTATTGAGATAAAACACTGATAAAATATACTGAAGAAGAAAGTGAGAAACTTGAAGGGTTAAAATGCTACAAGGAGAATGTCTGTGTATGATATGGACACGAAGTAGTACCTTAAGCTGTGTATTATTATATTACTCTTATATTACTCCATTAATTATGTATAGTAAAGTATTACAGAACATGTATTAATTCTATGTAATATTCCCATTTATTGTGCACCATATTATGTATATAAATTATCATATTTATACTTTATGTATTCAGCTTGTGAATGCTGGCATCTGTACATGCAGCACGCAGTAATACATAGAGAGAGTGAAGACTGCCAGTCCTTGTGGTGTGGAAGTGAGCTTCCTGGTCCCCTTGTATATATCTCCCGTACGAGAATAGAACCTACTTTTAAGAGAACAAGTGTTTGTGTATACCTTCAGTAGTATAGAACATTTTGGAGGTATCAAGACGAACGTCAGAGTCTGAACGAAGATTTTCATAAGACTGATTTGTAGAGAGGACGGAAGGTGAAATAAAATAACTGACTGAAATCTGGTTAATATAAATCAATGGGAAAACAGAGTGGCATATAATTGGGAAATGTTAAACTTAGATTATGATACAGCAATGAAATACACATCCAGTACACACGGGTGTAAAGTTACCACAGAAATATGGCCATACACACCTCATCATGAGACAGAGAGCCAGCTCCTCCTGCAGAACACTTTCAATATACATCATGTCAAGGTCACTGACAATGGCTCCGTTGATAACCATGATCTCGTCTCCTTTTATGATTCCTGTAGGGGGAGAAGACAGTGTCAGATGAAGAACTACACCAGGGGGCCAGATTATGTACCATTTTTCTACTATAACACTACACTTCTTAAAACTGCTTATGAATTCAAAATATATTCTACTTCATTATATTAAAAGATATATACTGTATATATGTATATAAATATATAATTTTACTCCATCTGGCATATGAGATTTAATAGCATACTCCCCAAGAGCTGCTTAACCCCAGACAGTTAGCAGACTTCTTTCTGTCTCCCAGTGATAACATTTAATCTTCCTTATATTATAGGTTACCAGAAGGGTTTAACAGTTTTATGGTAAATTTATATGATAGGTCATTAGGCTGAGTGAGTGGGACTGTGCTGGTTGGGGTCTTTATTACCGTAAATCTCCTCTGTCAGAGGCATGGAAAGAGTTTACAATAAACATAATTATACCGGTGACAGCGGAAAAGTTATGTCACAAAGATATCATCAGTATGTCAAGGAATATTTATATATTGCAGTGTAATTAACATATTTAAACTGGTGCTCATATAACTTCTTTTTATGAAGAGCTAGGCAGCAGAAAATCTTTTATTTATTAGATTTATAATTACTTTACTTTGAAAGAGCTACTCCAAACAGGGTTAGGGAGGAAGGGGCAATGAATTCATTACTTCAGAAAATGCATGATGTTTTCACAATATGGCATCCATTCCATGATAATGTCTGTTATACAAAGATACTTCCAACATGCAAGCCAATAATACTGTACCACCTTCTTTATATATTGAGGTGTTTCCTATTTAACCTGGCTTTTTAAATTATCTTTCAGCTTTATAAAAAGTCTTTGATACTGTAATAGTAATTTAAGGTGATAATGTAATTTACATGCCAATGTCTGCCATATAATAATGATTCTGAAATGATACTGCCTCGTAATTGAAGTTCTTTGTACAGACTATCGCCATAGCAACACAGCCTCTCTAGCTAGGAGGAGGGAGAGGGGGGAAGGGAGGGACAAGGGCAGAAAATGGCAAAGCAAATGGATCTTTATAATACAGTTTTTGGTCTGAAGATATTGCTGATTTTGACTTTTTCATAGAAGGAGGTTTATAATGTTGAGTGTACTGAATGGTGGTAAATTGGGTTATGAGTCAATTCTTGTCAGAGTCTAATAATAATGTATATAAGGCAAAACAAAGAATTATGATATCCCCAAAAATGTGGATAAAACTTAAACTTAGCAAATAAATATATAACATACTTGTGCAGTTAGCAAATAACAAGAAATGTGCAAATGAGGTATTGATGAAGCCTGTTTCAATATGGAAATGAGTGCAGGGATTATTTCATGCATTTCTCAGTGTGGAGAAAGAAAATAATAATGAGTAAATCAATGAGTTATATTTGAACATGTCAGGGGCTTAAGAGAATAAGGAGGCTAAAGGTATACTACACCCCATGAAAGTATTACTTAGTAACTTTGTTGCTTTGATTATATCAGTTTTTCATCCTCATCACCATTTCCCACAGTTGTGTATAGTGGTTCCTACCAGTGGAGAGAAGCTCCATTATATTTGTGCAGGTCTTCGTGATATTGAAAAGGTGCTTTTGAGGGTTTAAAGTGATATCTTTGGCAAGTGGACTCAACTTATGACCCTGTAGTTATATTAGTATACTGTACTCCATATATTTTGACACAATAAAGCTTTCAAGACAGTTGGATTCAGTTGCTCAAAAAGAAGAAGAGTTATGAGAGTCGCCTGTTCTTTTACTTTATGATGTTTTGATTCTTGTCATTGGTCACAGCTCCAGTAAAATATTGCCATATACAGTATTCCACAATATCCTTCACGGATGGTAACAATTATCGCTAGAATTTGTACTGAATAGAATATATATCTACCCTTATCTATTTTTCTTGTCTTTATTGTGTGATATATTAAAAAATAAAAAGAACAAGATAAATGTTAAATAAGCTCTGGACACAACCTACATTAAAAAAGTTACACACTCATATAAACTGCACCGAGTGTGAGCTCATTCAAGGCCAGACTTGGCCAACACTGAAGCAGGTTCCGATATATTCAGGAGCCAGTGCATGCCCAGTATATGCCAACAGTGCGCAGAGACGTGACCGACCGCACAAGCGGCTAACGAGCCGATCAGTGGCAAAGGGGATAGAAGTATAAGAGCCATATACAGTCCGCTTCACTAGTGCACTTACGGGGGCTCGTTTTATAAACATTCGCCAAAACATTACATCGAGTTATTTGTTTAAATATTATTTTTACTTTGATTCCACAGTATTGCGAGTTTCCTTCTGTCGAATGTAGACAAACATGGTTACACAGGTCTGCCACACTGCACAAAACCCGACGAGCCCCTGTAAACGCACTAGTGAAGGGGACTGTACGTATTCAAACTAGGCAGTAAGTATTTTTCCTAAATAACTCATTGCACTTCTTAGTGATTGTTAAAAACAGTCACACAAGAATTAGTTCAGTATGTGCACTCCTGTGTGTTCTGCATTATCTACTGAATAAACTATTTGGGGATAAACCGCCTCTTTTTGGCATTCAACTGCTTTCTTGCAGAGAACCTGTGAATTTTCCCTCACGCACCCAGGGGTATTCAAGCACCATCTATCATGCTATCCCTGGGTGACTCCCAAAGGTACAATCACTTACTGGGAGCACTACACATGTGTTCAAGCATGAGGCCATCATGTTTGAATGTACATTTAGTGCAGCTTTCGGTAAATATTTAGAAATTGCCAACACTTACTTATATATTGAGTCATAGAGAGAAAAAAAATTATTCTATTGCGTTTTCGTCAGAAATTTATATTTTTCTTGTATTTTAACCGATAAAATTACCAACAGTATCAGTTCAAAGTGAGCAGGACTTTTAAGAAAAGGGAAAATGTGGGGTAAAAAAAAATGAAATAAAAATAAAATAAACAAACTTTTGAAAACCTGACCTAACGTTTCCTAACCTTTAAAAAGCCTAAAACTATAAAAAGTTTACCATATTCATGTATTCAGTGTTTAGTAGGTGATGGTGTTGTTTTCGGATTTTAGTATGTGTTAGTGTCGTTTTCGGTGTTTAGATGAGGAAGGATCCATAAATTCGAAAGTGATTCATGACATTTTTACAAGTTAGGAAACGTTAAGTAAGGTTTTCAAAGGTTTGTTTGGTGTTATTTTTTGCATTTTCCCTCTACTACTGTAGGTAGTAAGCAGCATCAAACAGGGAGGTACCACTACCTGGGAAGATATTGAATGCATAAAAACTCTAATGGTAGACCCTGCTGCCATACGGCATAAAAAAAAAAAAATTAAACTTGTGACCAAATCCCAGGTTGATGATCTGACTTTCTGCCTCATTTACACACAATTGCAGGGTCTCAATTGTTTCTCTTACTTTGGCAACACAACACAACATACATATACTGTTTCTCACTATTGATCTTTTTTATATTATTATTATTATTATTATTATTATTATTATTATTATTATTATTATTATTATTATTATTATTATTATTATTATTATTAGTATTATTACATTTTCGCCCCCAGGCCCTGATGTGGGTCAGTGACCTGTGAGCTATTGGTCTAATCCCGAAAAAAAAAAAAAAAACTTCAGTCCTGCCCACTTTGAACAACTAAAATTGTGGGTAATTTTATCGGTTAAAATACAAGAAAAAAATATATTTCCGACGGAAACGCTATAGAATAAATTTAAAAAAAATTCTTTCTCCCTATATGACGCAATATATAATTACTGTAGGTGTTGATAATTTCTAAATATTAACCCACCAATGATAGTACTGTATCTTTGATAGTCAGCTATGAGGAAGATAAGTGCGACAATGTCATCAACAAATTAATTGTGAGGACTGCCTGTATTCCTATACCTGTACCTGTAATTGTCTCACAAGTACACCACAATGACCTTTTACGGAGGATCTGGATATCATGTTAGGAATCAGTTCCCACTTGGCTTCACTGACAGTTAAGAAGAGATAGAAAAGAATGAGCAAGTGAGTGTACAAAGGGGGACATATAAGGCATTAAAATAACTGTGTTTTGAGATACGCAAAAGTGTTCTTTAACAAAAAAGTGGAAATTTTGTTGTTCTTTAGAGGAACAGTGAGGAATTTGTTGTTCTTTAGAGGAACAGTGAGGAATTTGTTGTTCTTTAGAGGAACAGTGAGGAATTTGTTGTTCTTTAGAGGAACAGTGAGAAATTTGTTGTTCTTTAGAGGAACTGAGAAATTAATTGCAGATCATGAAGAGATAAGAACATAAGAATGGAGGAAACTGCAGCGGGCCTATTGGCCCATACTGGACAGTCCCATTTACACCCAACCCCTATTGCTCATATAAGCATCCAACCTATGTTTGAAGTAATTCAGCGTATTCGAGTTAATGATGATATTTGGTAACTTGTTCCATTCATCCACTACTCTGTTTCCAAACCAGTGTTTACCTATTTCACGCCTAAATCTAAATTTGTCTAATTTAAAACCATTGTTACGAGTTCGCACCTGGTTGGATAATTTGAGTACCTTTGTAATGTCCCCTTTGTTTAGCCCTGTCTTCCACTTATACACCTCTATCAGGTCGCCCCTCGCTCTACGTCTCTCGAGGGAGTGCAAATTAAGATGCTTTAACCCGTCTCTATACTCAAGGTTCCTAATGCCCGGGATTAGTCTTGTGAATTCTTTCCAATGATTCTATATCCATTCTGTAACACGGAGACCAGAACTGGTCTGCGTAATCCAGGTGTGGTCTCACAAGCTCAAGATACAGTTTTAGGATGACCTCGCTAGTCTTATAACTAACACTCCTTTGTATGAACCCAAGTACTTTATTAGCCTTGTTACGAGCAAAAACACATTGTTTACTTGGCTTAAGGTTCCTACTTATCATTACTTCTAAATCTCTCTCGCAGTCGGATTTCTCTATGGCATCGTTGTTCATCTGGTATCTGGTTTCCCTGTTTAC